TCGTTATTTTTTTTAATTATTATTATTATTTTATTTTATTATTTGTGTGAGTGTTTGAAGCAAAGGGGGCAGTTGGAGGACCATGAAGGAGAAGGTGTGGAGGAATGTGTCGCACCTTGTGTTTTGAGTTTCCTCGTGGCCCTCCCTTCTTCATTGTCGTGTATTTTTAAGTTGTTCTTGTCCACGTCTGAAACACTGTGACTTCTGAAAACTATGCTCAAGAAAACCCATATGTGACCGTGATGTTCCCTCACCTGCTATAGATATTAAACTAACAGAATAAATTGAATGAAAGTGTCTTTTTCTCATGCTTGCTCATCTGTTTTGAGTGTGTGTTTTCATGCAATGCAATGATGGAATGCTCAGGTGTTGTTGCCGCTGCTGCAGACATGTTGTTCATTAAATGCACTCGCTCAGCTGTTTTTTAATCTAATTCTATTGGTGAGACAAAAGGCTTAATAGAAAGAAGTAGATATTTTAAACCTAAAATCCAAAATTTTTTAATCAGATTTGTCTTAGCCTTATTAATCACATCCATAAAACTGAAATATTTATTTACATTTATCAGAAGACCATAACAAAATTTGAAAGAATGCTCGTCACTCCCCTCCTTTCGTGCCAGTTTTATTTCAAGATGGCCACCACAGCCATCACCACATCTTCAAAATGTGTTAAAGTTCTGAGTTTGTGTTGAGGATGACTCAGCTCCTATAAAGCCTAGTTTTAGCTCATTATCTGTAAAAATAACTGAATTCCAGCCATTTCTGGCTAATGTTGATTAATTGTAAGCACAACCAGTTATAGTTTTCTGAACGTTTCATTAAAATCCATCCAGTAGTTTGTAGGATATTTTGCTTGACTCATATTCCTTTAAAGAAGTTATTGCTCAAATCGTGTGTTGAAAATGGCTCACAGCTACCACCACACCACATTTGAGTACAGTACCTGTGTAATTGGCTGAGTTGTAGCCATTTTAGGTCTCACGGCTCATGTTTTCTCCATCTGCCACAGCTGAAACTAAACTTGTGATGTGAAAAATGAAATCCACATTTTTTTAGGAATGCTTTAAGGGTTTGCATTTCCAGATATCAACAACCTCAGCTCAACGTGCAATGAGTCAAGAAAAAGATCTTAATTATAATGACAAAAAAAAGCTTTATCTGGGCTCAATTTGATTGACCAAGAGTAGCTTTATTTATTGAGGTGCAGTGGTTAGTGTGGCTGTCTCACCTTAAGATGGTCACAGGATCTCAGCTGGAACTTTTCCGTGAGGAGTTTACATGTTCCTATAGTGCATGTGTGGGCTTTTTCCAGTAACTCACATTTCCACTCACAGTCCACTTGCATGCATGGTGGGTTCATTTGAGATTCTGAATAATTATTTTTCATTTGTCTCTGTGTTTGGCCCTGTGATGACTTGTCCAGATCGTTCCTCACCTTCTATCTGTTTAAAACTGCTGGTTGTTGTTGTTTTTTTTAATCCAATGATAAAGAGGTGTGGCACAAACTGAAGAAGAAAGAATCAGATAGTTTGGTCTCATCAGTGTGCTCAGTGTGAGACAGGTTACTCATCGCTTCATTCAAGATGAACCCACAGAGAACGACATGATCTTTTCAAAAGTGCTATCATGCAGATCCCAGTAATTACACACATCTTGTCATTAGCATGTTATATGGACCCTCACATGACTGTGTGTGTGTTTTGTCCTGTCAGACATCTCCACTCTTTGAGTAATCAGGAGCCACTGAACTGCAGCGCTGCATCAGCTGGGAAGTGCCTGGCTCCCTGAAATACTGTTGTGACTTCTCTGTCTTAATCTCTGCCACCGCACACACACACACACACACACACACACACACACATACACACACACACGCATGCACGCACGCAAGTACGCACGCACGCACACACACACACACACACACACAGTGGACCACAATGGAAATACGTTTTTCTCACTTTCTTGTGTTATCCAAGTACTAATAATGAATGCACTAGATGTGTATGTACATACAATATTATTGCTAAATAACATCAATCAATCAATCAATAAATCAGTCAATCAATCACACACAAACACACACACACACACATACCTGCTTTATTTGACTTTAATTGCTTTTACTTTTTAAATCTAAAACCTATATCTGACACACTCTAAACTTGCGTGATCCTGTAGTTTGAGCACACATTGTACTGAGGTTTTTGTTTTGTGGAACTGCATGCATAAAGTAAAACACGATTACCTGCTTCACTTTACTCCTAATACACCCCCCCCCCCACTCGAGGACAGGCCCGCCTGTGTAGATGAAAGGAAGATGCTGTAAAGGCCTTCGCTTTTCACATAACAGCATCTCATTTGTCAGAGCTTCCCATGTCTGAATCTGATACTTCAGTCTTTTGAAGTTGCTTTCGTGCACATCCATGTCTAAATCAAACTGTACACACACACACACACACACACACACACACACACACACACACACACACAC